AATTACCGATAAGTACCGACACGACGTGCGGGTACTACCAAGGTTGGCTAATTGAACTAACTAAAATAATTCGTCAAAGAAATGCGCCGAACGCAACAAAAAATATTACACACAGCAAAGGTCAGCCGAAAAAAAAAACCCACAAATTTATAACCAACTGAGACGGACAGTCTTGACTCCCAGTCTGACTGACAGTCCGACTGTCCGCTGCAGTAACAAAAACTCCGAAAAGACTAAATCAGACACACAGCGCCATCTACCAACACAAACCGCAAGTCGCGCACAGAAAACCTGCAATACCACCGGCGCACAATTCAAACGAGAAACCTGTAATTTCGCGCGAAACGCAGTGTCACACACAATGCGATATCGCGCCTCTTCACATTACACTTCTTCACCGAACCGAAGTGAAAAAAAATTCCATGCGCTTGCATGTAACGCTAGTAGCATGCCCGATAAGCGCTAATCACGCCCGGTCAGATTATATGATAAGAGCGGCTTGTCGATGTCTAGTCTGGCGGCGATAACCGTCGCAAAGTAAAGAAACAACAACACCTTTCTCGGCGAGCAGGAAACACGATTAGCGGCACCATCAGGTGATACGCACGCATGTGGAAAATCTCGATGAGTAACAATCAACGATACACAACTAATAATCGTCAATGTCTGCGACGGCGTGATGATAGTGTGTTTCAATTGAAGTTTTTCTTAGTCACGGTCAAACATCAGCTGGAAATAATGGCGATTCACTTGCATTTTGCGTGTTTCATCGCTTATTTATCTCCAAATTCGCGATATCCAGGCGAGAACTTGCGCAGATTTCCTGCTGACTCTGCAAGAATAACTGGGAGATGATTTGTAACATGAGAATTTTATCATAAAGCGTTGTTTCTAAGAAAAAGTGATAAAAAATGAATAAAATTGGCAAAAAGCAAAGTGGGACACCAAAGTTCTTCACCTCCTAAGAGGTGAAATCAAATGTTTAATACTCGAATTACTGTGTCAACAATTTGTGCCGATATAATTGCCGACAAATTAAAATATCAACAATTTAATTGCATAATAATTAATCGTGAATCGCGACTCACCGGCGGGGAAATTTCGGTCAATAGCTAATTATCGAACTTGGATGGCTCCCGAGTGACATTGAAGATGATTACGTAATTGTCCGCGGTCGGAATGCGAGGATTCGTTCAAAAGTGATGCACGCGACAAATCATATGATTCACACGGTGGCGCGCGGCATTTATAAACGCTGACCAGCTCAAAAGTCGTCGTCGTCGTCGTCGACACGCGCTTGAAAGTGAACGCGAATTTCGCGAAGCTCTGCAAGAGATATGCATGCATAGAGATACACAACAACAACTGAGCACGTACTCCATATATTCCGGCGACCTCCGCGCTCTTGCGACGAAAAATCAACGCGTGACCGACTTAAAATCATGTCGCCGAGGAGCCACCTCCGAGAAAAAAGCCGCGCGCACGCCGATGGCGGAGACCTTGAAGGTGTGCAACTATTACTAAAAGCAATAACAAATACGCGGCGCGAGCCGAGCCATGAAACACATTCAGCTGCTGCTGCAGTCGTCGATATCGCGCGCACAACGACGACGAAATTTTCGCAACATTTCTTTTTTACGCGTTCGCGCGCGCGCGAGCCGCGCGCAACAAATAATTAAGTTGTACCAATTTCCGAAGGTCGCGCGACCCAGCCCCAAGACTGGATGGATGAATTCCCAAATCCCAATATTCCAACACCTCACGAGTAAACAAGATTCATCAACAGCACACGCCGAAACACAGCGGAGGACGTAAACAATCGCGACGTTATCGTCACGAACATGTCAATAAATTAATGAGAAACCTATTTATGAATTGGGTGAATTAGCGTGCTTGACCCGGCGAAATCATCATCGCCGTCGTCAGCGCGTTAATATTATTAAACAAATTCGCCGTCCGCAGCCATCACTCACCGTGCGTGTATGCATATATTCACGCTGAATGTTTTAAGAAGTTACACGTTTGACATTTACCAACAATAAACACACAAGCGTGTGTTTCAATGTCACAAATCGCTGCAAGAGACGCGAATATTTGTGTCTCCTGCCAATTGTAACAATTTATTGTGCAAAATCTAGGTAATTATCGTCTTGGCAATATGTTTTAATCGTGGTTGCGTTGTTTTATTGCACATTTCACGTCAATATTTTGCCGTGAAATCTTGTTTGTTGTTCGCGCCGGCAGAAAGGTTGAGTGACCCTTAAGTGATCGCGGCCCGATGGCAATCAGCATTAATTGAACTCTCTCGGTTTATTAAACAATTTGATAAACAAGCACGGGCGGGCGATGGCACTAGCGGGGCCCGTTCGGGGAGGGCGCATTGTATGCAAATCCGGGCGGCGGGCGCGCATTGTCAGAGGTCGAAAAACCGAAAAATTTCAGCTGGCCCACAACCCGGAAACTCACGCGCGCGCCGCAATTTATGCAAACACAGCAAGTTTGACATTTGCCGAATATTCGCGCGGCCAACTTCCTTATTGCAACACGCGCGTGTTTTCGACGCAAACACTTCCGTAAAACTCGCTCGTTGCGACTATCAGCAACATACTCGTCGATGCGCATCGCGAAATAAATCGTAACGTGCGAATGCGGACCGATTTACAAACTTTGTTGAGGCATCAACCACTTCAACATTGTTCGGGCTGTCGCAATTTTCCTGCGATTCCTGCTGCATGCATGAGAACACGCGCGCGGATTGCCAAAAACCTCGCGAAACAATTCCTCTCTATCTCAACACACACACACACACGTTGTTAATGAATGCTAATTCCACTCGACGTCGAAATGTTTCAAACTTTTCAATTACTTACGATAGCATGCATGACTTTCAAGCGAGTATTGCTCAAGAAAACTACGACGTGAGAAGCAAACTGGAGTCGCACACAAGTTGAGCGCAGCCAGTAATCACGACTCGCAGCGAAAATAATCATTTCTGACCGTTTACACAACAACAATGTTTGTTTGCAACTATGGCACGACCTTGAAACCCCTTAGGCGGTCTTCGCTGGCTGTTTACGCGAATCGCTGGTTTCGCATGCATGAGAATATATCGCGGGGGAGCGCCGCGCGCGTCGCGATGCCGTAATTGCGACAGAAAATGGCGGCGGGCGCCGCACCACGACCTACCCCATGCGCCGCCAATCATTCAACCCCCGAGAAACCCTTTTTGACATCAATCAATCGCGGAATTACACCGAAATCCAACATTTTTAGTGATTTTCTAGCTGTTTTTATGTGTATGAGTGATGTTAAGGTGGAAGGACGAGTGTGCGTCGATGGGTTTGACATCACCTCGAGAGTGTGAGGTTGCAGCGAGCTCGCAGCTCGAGCGCAAAGCGAGGATGCGTCGTGTTTACATTTAGCACTCACCATAATGTCCTCGATGCGATGTGTATGCACACACACGGGCTGGCTGGCTGGTTTATCCACCAACGGATTGTCGCTCGTCGCACTATCACCACCGAGAGAGTCCGGGCGCGATCGCGCGCTGGCCTTTGTTTTGTTTGCAAGTGCAGCGCGGCGCGCGCTGGGCGTTCGTTCGTTCTTCGATATTTTTAGCCGCTCGTGTTTACACGCGCTCACATCACGTCGCACTTCGCACACTGGGGTTGCTGCTGCTGCTGCGGCTCTTCTGCACACGCACACACTGCGTCGGTACGGCGGCTGTGGTGTGTTTCTCCTGCTGGTTTCGGAGGCGCGGTACGTCGTCCTCGCGGGCCCGTGTCACTGCGTGCACTGCGCGCTGGGTGAGCGTCGACGGCGCGTTATAATCGCGGCGCTCGCACGCACCACGGCTGGCGTGAAGGCGACCCGGCGCGCGCGACGATGATGCCTCGCAGTCTCGGCTGCGTTTCGCGACAGGTCACAGTTCGGGCGTGTGGCGTGGATTCGGCGATTTTGCAGCCCGAATCTGGTATTCTCATACCGCAACGGTGCGCGAATTGTTGTGTCGGTCGCTTTGCGGCTTTGACGCGCGCGTCCGAAGGGGGTCGGTGCGGCGCTGTGCGCGCTTGCAGCGCTCTGTGTGCTCTGCGCACCGCACACCAACGCCATCTACCTACCTTAAACTCAACCCGCCGCACCATCGAAATGCTAACATAACTGTAGTTTATTCATTTATGCGCTGATAACAAACAGTAAACATACTCACAGGTCAACGCTCATCATTTATCACACCAGGAATAATCAGAAACCAAAAGTGGTGCAGTCCCGAATAAATTCACACAATAAATCACCGGTTTGAATTCGCGCATGCGCAGTACCCACACACGTCAACGCGAATCCAAACTCGCTGCAGTGCGTTTTCTAAGTAAAAACTTAATATTTATTGGACATTAACTAAAAACATCCTAACGTAATACAAAGTAATTGTTATTCCACCATAAATATTATGATAATGATGATAAAACTGCTAATATAACCTACTGGCAGTATATGATAGTGTTTTTTTCCTCATCTGCTCTCCACACACAATCATTCCAATTCATTCGCAGCATCATCGCGACTCGTTAATGTGTGTTAACATCGAATCAACTGAAACAGTTATCGCCAGGCGACGCAAAGCCGACTAAAATGAATCAAAAACGTGAGAAAACGATAACAACGGCAAATCGAGTTAATTAAACACCTATTAACTTACAGTGTACATACGAATGCTAGACACGCGGCCCGCGAAGGCGCACGCTCACAAAATTTGTCATAGAAATTCAACACATCATCATCATCATCATCGTCCATCATTCGAACCCCCCGCAATCATCCACTTCGCCCGCTCGCATATGCGACACTTGAAAATTAAACTTAATACGTTCCGTAGACAAATGTATATATGTATAATATATAATATATATAGAGATGTATATATATAATATATGTAGGTGGCGTGGTAGAATGGGGCATTACATGTGGTGTATGCGTGTGAGAAACGTCAAACGTAAACGTTACGCTTAAATAAATTCCATTAAAGTTTAAAGTTTGCATCACATAATCATCATCATCAATCTTTTTCGCGCCATTTTTACATATTTAAAATCGCATTTTATCACAAAAAATCACATCATGAATTATTACACTTATCGAATTAATTAATTAATAGTTAAACCTAGATATTCTCAGGGGTGGTGGATTAATCATAGAATCATAATCGATCGGTATCGGTGTGGGGTGGTGATCAGTATAGTTAATGTAGTAGTCGTCACACACACAACACGCTGCTCCGCGCAATGCACTTAAGTAAACAGTAAACGATAACTAAAACTTAACCTCGAATTGCATTCGTCCAGAGTTCATGCACACGCGTTAGTATCATGCGCTCTCGCTCACGCAGTCATCTCGTCATTATCAATGTTTCTCTCATCAGTTTCGGTAAAAAATTAGATATCTTTCTGCAATAGTAGATTTTCTCGCGTTTTTTATTTATTTTTGTTGCTTCCGTTTGTTTGCTTTTAGTTTTTTTTTTTTTTGGTTTTTTTGCAAGCGTTTGCAAGTTTGGTGTGAGATGATTCTTCGAGTCGTATTGCAATTGTTTTGGTTGCTAATTCTAGTATATATTTTTGTTTGAGAATAGAATCTGAATAAGTTTGTTTGACTTGACATCGTGTATGCGTTTGTTTTTGTTTTGTTTGCTTGTTAACTTCTTCTTCGTCTTCTTCATTATTTTTCTTGTTTGCTTGTTTGTTTTGTTTTTTTGCTTCAATATATAAGTTTAGATTAACACAGTTTCATACCACAGTTTGTTACATTCGCTTTTGCTGCATTCATTTTGCGCATGCGCATCATCTTCGTGTGGAAGAAGCTGGAGCATGTTTTCGCTTTTGAGAGCTATTTACAAATTTGAAAATCGAAATCAGAGGCTTCGATGGAAGCGTATGCGCGCGCGCGCTATTCGAACCATTCGAACTGATCGCGGACAATGCATTATAGAGTTTTGTGTTTGGTATTCGTTTTGTTTAAAACATTCACGCTGCGCGTCTTGAGACAATCTCGCATTGTTTCCCGAATTAGTTTAAGCAAAGTTGAAACGATTTCATCGCTCGCCTTATCAATTCCTAGTGAATTTGATTGTTTTGCACCCGTTTGCTCGGCCGCGTTGCCATCGCCAGAATGGTCGTCGGTGCGTTCCTGATGCAACACAACAACAACACGCGCCAGCAATAATCGCATTCGTTCACGCGCCCAAATACACATATATTAAGGACCTCAAACACGCATTCACGCCAATGATTATCGTGTTATCAATGTTAAGTAATTACAATGCCAATCGTACACACTCCGGCGGCGCGCGCCAACGGGGACGCCTCGCGTTTGGTCGTGGCGAGCGTCTCCGGCGGCGGCGGCAGCGCTTGTACTCGATTGTTCATCGCACGACGACGACGTGAGATCACAGCCGGCGCGTCGATCATTCCCATCCGTTCTCCTTGATCATATGCGCCAGCTCGATGATGAATTTGCCTTCCTTGTACTTTTGGCTTGACTCGAACGCGTGTTCCTGCAAAAACCACCACAGTTTAGACTCACTTTCACTCAATTTATCCGCCATTACTTACGTATTTCCAACCTAGGGTCGTCTTACAGCACTCGCAGTAAATGTCGGCGACTGCATGCAACCCAGTGAGCAAGACGCGCTCTTCGGCAGGACCGCAACCCACGTTTACCCTGCGACACACACCACACACAACAATAATAAAAACATCCAGAACAAAGAAACAACACGGGCGGTTTTCTACCTGCGTCGAAATAAGAAAATACTTACACCGAATTAAAGAGGTACGCTCGGCCTTGACTGCCTTGGAATGACTACAACAAGCAAAGTGTAAGAGGTAAAAAGGTAAAGCAGCCGCATGAAAAGAGAATAACTCACTTTGGATATCAGCTCGTCGTGGTTGGCGAGGTGAGCCCGGCAGTGGATGCACGAGTAGGTGCGATGGCATTGCGGGAGGTAGGCCTGGAACGTCTTCACCATTGTTGTGGCCGCGACGGCAGGCCATACGTTCTCGTCACACCTGCAACCAAACGAACACGGACCACTCAATTAACTTCATCGCACAGCGCTTTTTATACCCTGAATTCCCGATGAGCCATGTGCAAACCATCCTGATATCATGATTCAAGAGCTTAATCATCACTTTCACCGTATGACTAGCCTGGATTTTCGACATTTCTGCGTTAGGTAAACGCAGCGCAGTCCCGAATTGATTCGCGCGCCGCCAGTATTTCCGTCTTTAATTAGAGCGCCGCATTAATTTCAAAGTATTTCGCTGAAACGCCATCGTCGGGCTGAATTATTAACGCGGATACAATGTGTCCTCTCTGCGCGCGCGGATCGAACACAAGACAACGGAGAAAAACACAATAGCGGGGCCAGACGACAGGTAATGACAGGTCCCGCCGGCGGATGCGCCTCTGTCTCCTCGTCTATTATCATTAATATGGATTTTCCCGCTTTGGACGCCGTGTATACAAACGCGCATCGATTCAGGAAAAAACAACACACATAGAGAGAGGAAAACATGTGAGGGCCGACACAACACCACCGGGTGGGTGGTGAAGGCGCCGCCGAGGCATGCATCGTACGTACGTGAAACTCATTTTCCTATTATCCGTTCCGTTATTGTTTTATTTAATTTCGTAATCGATTCGAGCGGCGGACATACGTGACTGCATGCCCCGCACACACAACAAGAGTGAAATTATTTAAGAGACACGACGCAAACATTCCGTCCACTCGTTTAGTTTTTATTCGATGGGATTTGATATTAAAACAATGCAAAACAGCGCGAAAAGTTTGAAAAATTGAACGCCCATCGATTTTCGCTGCGTGTTGCAATCGAGGAAACCAGCGCAACCAGCGACGCCGAGAAAGTCGTATGCCGCGATTAGCATAATAACTAAGCCGGATAGGAAATTGATTGTCTATTAATGAGACTCCGGTCAGCTGACGTGGAAAGCCGTCAGGTCGCGTTTTTCCAGCGGCGGGGTCAGGTGAGCCGGAAACCTGTCAAGTATGACGCCGGCGTCTTATCGAATGTGACAATTCCTCTCCTCCTGCACCGTGTACTCATTACGCGTGCATTATACAAACGCGCCGCGTGGAAAACGTGAAAATCTCGCGCGAATGCATTGCATTGACTCAGGTCAATTGTTACCGCGAGAGGCGGTGCGCCTATTTCTGGCACAAATAGTTTCCGCAGGCTTCAAAGAAAAATTGTTGCGAGCTGGTGTGTATTGACGAAGGTAATGCCACAGCTCGGGGAAATTGGAAAAATCGCCCACGTTGTGCACACAAGCGCACTTGTGGTGTCATGTGCACGACACGACACACACACGGCCGTTTCCTCGAGACGTAAACAAAATTTGCATTTCCTGTTCGAATTCACAATCAACTGCGTTATACTTTTACGCGCTAGTAAGCATTAGTTATTTATATACGAGTAACAAGACGTCGACGCGCTGCTGCTGAGGTGCATATTGCTTTTATTCCGATTGCGTCGTGTGTATGCAATGAAAGGACAGGAACGTCCGGATGAAAGATGGATCGTAATAACGAGTGTGCAAATGGTGCAGGCGAATAGCATTTCACAGTCGAGTTTAAAATGTTGCCACTGGCAATAATCGCTTAACAAGCATTTCCAATTATTGAAAATGTGGGATTTTCAATAAGTTTCCCCAAATAATAAAAATAATAAAATGATTTGTATTGTAATCAAGTAGATAAATTATTAAAAAATTGATTATCGTGGTTTTGGTGATGACAAGTTGAAGGTATATTTAAGATTTCGGAGGAATTTATTATTGAAAACACGAAGAAAAAACATGGAATCGCTGTGGACAGGATTCGAACCTGTGCGGGCAGAGCCCATTTGATTTCGAGTCAAACTCCTTAACCGCTCGGACACCACAGCCGATGGGGGTAAATATGCAAATTTAAACTTTTTGCAAATTTATAATTAATGCCAACATATAAATACAATAATCATGAAGATGTAAGTAGTTTGTACATACCAGCTTAGTATATGAAGTTTAAAAATACGAGATTGACATTTCTTATTATGCAAAACTCCAAGAAAACATTTTTTCTTAAGAAGATCTTGGAAGCTGCGACTGGAAAACTCTAACACGACTGAACAAGTGGCACACTGCACGCCTGCCTTTTATACACGCGGTCTACCCGAAAAAAGTAGTGGGGGAAGTGCTGGCATATGATTGGTTGCGCGATAACACTGAGTGCCGAGTACGTAACATTGGATTTTCTCCACTCTTTTTCGCGGGAAGAGCAAAACTATAAAAGGGAAAACGCAACGTTTACTTTTTAACCCGATGAGGGTTAATGCGCAAGTTTTAAACAATTTTCATAATAAACAAATTGCGTAACAACTATTTACTATTTGACTATTTACAGTCGACAATAACAAACGTAGCGAGCGTCAAATGTTTGGCTCGCGATTATGTTTATTATATCTAAGATATTGTTGTCCGCGGCGCGCGTCGTTCTGGGTGATAAGTGCGATAAATCCAGCGACTGGGAAGTGTTGACACGGCCATTATCATCTGGCTCAATCAAGGACTTATCAGCGCAGCGCTATTTGTTGACGCGATTTTTTGCGGCCGCATGTCGCGCGAGTCAGCTGTTCGCGAGGCCGCGCGCGATCCAACAACAACAGCGCGCAAATCGCGACGCAAAAAACGCGCTGCTGCGCGCATTTCCCAGCGCCGCATTTCACTTTTACGTCACGTCGAATATTTTCGTGATGCAAGTTTCCAATCAGCATATAATACCCTCCGCGCGATTAGTTATTCAACGCTGTCAGTCCGTCAAAGCAGTCACAACCAGAAGAACAAACACAAACGAGTGCTGCGTCAATTTCGCAACCACCCTTGTTTCATCATCATCATCGCCATCACGTAAGCGCGCTGCGTTTGACAGAAAATCTAATATCGACTTCTATCGAAATCTATTCATAGGTCATGCAGGTTAAGGCTGAGATTTTCAGCGGCGTGTAGTACGAGTTACCGTTGTCGTTACCGTTTTCTTTGTTCGCGAAGTCACCGGCTCGCACGGCACGCTCCCCACTCGCGGATGTTGTTGTCCGACGACGACGACGACGACGACGACGATTCGAAGGCGTTCTCGGTCGAGCCGCGCGCGCTCTACGCCAACAATTTCAGGATTAGAACGTGAAGGACGCCAGTGCGAAGTGCGCGCCGCGAAAACAAAGGCGGCACTTTTGCGGCGTAGAAAACTTATTTGATTTGCGCGCGCGGGGCTGGAGATGCACTCGCGATGCACGCCTTCATTCATTCAGACGCATCGCACACACCAGAGACACATCGGTATCATCACACGCCGTATTTGCTTTTGCGCGCGCGCGCGCGATAAGATTATTTCCTAGTTTGTTATGTAAACACAAACACACGAAATTCGAAATGAATGCAGATTAATTACCATTCCGTCAAGTGTGCGCTGTGTGTGTTTGCACTTAATCAACATGCGTCGTCCGGCGATTATCAGTCGTCGTGTGTTTTGTTTTTCTGCGTTCAAACACACGCGCTGCCGATATTAGACAGCGAAATGAAAACGCGCCGCGCAGAAGCGCCGCATCACGAATAAGAGCGCGCGCTTATCATTATCATATCGCGTACCGATTGCGGAATTATTAATAACACACGCGAGGCGGACGGACGCGACGCAATCGTCGCATTTTCGTGTGTGCTGTGTTAATGCGTCGCGCACCAAATGCATGAAATTCGCCGGCCAGTTATCAGTCAAAACACATTGACGCAGTTTTTTTTTTCCCGGCGACTAGACCTCAATTCGCCGGCGTGTTGCGCAATATTTTTTCGCGATTCTACGACGAAGTACCAGTTAGAAAAACATGTTTATAATAAAAGCGGTGGGAAATTTCGTGTTGCAACGCTTCTTGATTTTTCTCTCAACGCGCGTGGAAAACCAAGAAGTTCGATTGAGTTTCATGAAAAGCGAAATTAATTTTAATCTCGCTGAAATAAAAAATAAAAAGCACACACACATGATTTTCTAAATATAGTCACACTCGTCGAGTCACTCAACAAACCATTGAACTCATCGTTTATTTTTTTTTCATCGATATCCGAAATTTAGCGTTCTACACGACGGAAAACTACTCACCGCTCGTAATTCGCGCCGTGGCAGTTGAATTAATGCGTGAATATATGTTTTTTTTCGTCGGTGCGAGGACGCGCTTGAAGTATATCAAGTTCACGGAGCGAATTATCAATGTCAACCGTTGAACTTTATTTTTCTGCCGCACACACACGCGTCCTGCGTACGTCGCGCGCGCTCATTGTTCGCAAAACGCGTCGAATTTGAAGCCTCGCAACAAGTGCTTGGTGCTTGCCAGCGGGCCCGGAGGTTGCTGAACTGCGCGCCGAAAGAGCGTCGCAGGAGTTCACTCAGTCGGTGTACGCATTCAGCTGGGAAATCATCGCCGAAGGATGATTTCATACACAAAAACACGAAATTTTATTTTTAACTGTTTTTTTTTTGTGTATCAAAACAATTCAAAAAGCTAAATTTATCGAAATTACCGTCTCGGAATCGTTGTTTTTGTTGCATTGCTGTAAATTCACGAAGTTCCCAGACGAAATCTTCTTTCTTTGCAAGTGTTGAAGGCATGCATGACAATAATTCGAGCAAATTGAATCTTGAAAGTTCGTCAAGCAGGAGTTGCTAGTGTACTGCTTCACTCGCTTCACAGCGAGTGAATAATATTCTATTGATTGGCAAATGTTATTACAGACGTGCGTTGTGGTGCGTAGCATTGCGTTGGTTTCGCAGCGGCCGCCTGCTGGCTTCCGTCGGCAATCAGAGCGCGGCGCGCGTCGTCCGCAGGATCCGGCCCGGTGTAAAAATAAATCGACGCGCGCGGTTTGTTTACGAACGCGCGCGGATTAGGACCGCGCGCCGCCGAAATATAGAATTTCTCACACGCAGCTAACCGCCGCGAACAACATTGCATCTGATTTTCCGAAATAACTCACCGATGGCTATTCATGGCAGCGCGGAAATGCATCGGAAAATCTACTGTGGATAATTTAATACAATGGAATAATGATCGCGAGTTTTTTCGACGATAAAGTGCGTTATGAAAATCGAAGCCAAATCCAATTGGTTGCATGTCGCGGATCGTTATCCTGAGCGCGCTCCAGATATCGCCACCGGGCAGACGACGGCGGCGGCGGCGGGCGGACGCGAACGCAAACAATGACCTGCCGCGCGGTTCTTTGTTTCGCGTTTCTCTTATTGCATAGCGGCGGGCCGCGACCGCGCCGCGGTTAATTTTACCACGGCGCTTGGCGCCAGCTGGAACAGCTGAGCTAGCGATTAACAATATTAATAAACGACGCTAATGGCACCGAGAGAGGGATACGCATGTTGTATGCGCGCTGCTGCTGCATTCGACACAACACGTGAACGGATGGGATTTTGATTGTACACAATGTGAATATTTGATGCAAACCAAACAAGCGCGCGCGCGCAAATTTTCGCACGTGTTTGTTTCGCGTCTAACCGCCGTGTTTTATTACGGTCTAGACGTTTTTTCTCTCCCTTTGTGCGCGAAAATTACACATGCACGACGCGTCCGCGAAAATATACACTACTCACATATGCCACCGCAGACAATAACAAACCGCTTGGAAAAACATCCAAGACCACAAATTCACTGGATGAAATTTTTGGCATAAAACAAATTGAAACCAATTACAAATTAAAAGCTTGAGATGAAGATAAAGATGAAGAGAGGACTCTTCACGTATGGCCGCACATTCGACTCCATTTTCTGGCCATTCATAAAGTTGTGAGTTTAATGCGAGCACGCCGCAGACAAGTTTTTATATTCCGCTCCGAGTCTCCGACTCCGTCGTCGGGGGGGCAGGCAGCGCGATGGCAGGTCTGCGCGCCAGCAGCGAGGTCAACAGACTCTCTCCAGCGGGAGACGCGGCGAGGGGCAGCAGGCGGGCGGCGCGCCACGCAGCAGTCAGCTGGTCCACGGCGTGCTGCTCCTGCTGCTCTCCTCCTCATCAAAACAACCCGAGAGCGCTGGGGGGATACAGGAATAAAAATCCGCTGCCGCACGAGACGTGCCCGCAGGCACGCCGCGGTCCCAATGGTAGAAATGTTATCGAGCCGCGCGGCTGTTAAGCGATGGCAGCACGACATGCCCGAGAGTTGCGACCGCAAACAGGATTGAAAGTATCGACTGGCTGGCGCACACACGCTCGCGCTCGCAGTGACGGAGACGGAAATAACACACAACAGCTGACTGCCATAACAAAGAGACGCGCGGAGCGAATCAATGGCAGAACGCGGTGCGGCGGCGACGACGCGAAGACGGGCGCCCAACAAAGACGCCGCGACGGCTTTGTTCACCGGCCGACCGCCGAGATGCGGAGTGAGATGAATGCCATGGGTGAACATGCGACAAACACACACAATCTGCGAGTATGTGTGTGTGTTGTTGTTGTTGTTGTTTGTTTTGATTCATTCGCATGCAGGAGTGGACGCGTCTCTCGCGCGAGGAGGAATTGCAGAAGAAGGCGACCGCCGCGCAAAAATGATCTGGGCGCTTGATTTCGCTCGATACTCGGTGCAGGCTGCGGCCTGTGTGCACCGTTGACGAACGGACATGCAACACACAACGGCGCTGCAGCCAGCCAGCCAGCAGCAGCAGGATAGTTATAGGCTGCTCTCGCGAACAAAGCGATGCGCCTTTCAGCGCGCTTAGTGAATTCAGTCTTGTTTACCCAATTGCGCGTAATAGCTCACCTTGGCTAACATTCGTGCGCTGTCCTGATGTCAAACGGCGTTATCCTGGGGGCGCTCGACGGTGGCACTCCGTGGGGCGCGCACTTTCGACGCGAGGGGGCTCTGGGACAGCGCGGGCGGCGGCGACAGTGGCGGTAGGACACCCTGGCGCGCGCGGACCTAGGACGGCGACGGCGATGCGCTGCTGATGCGGACGACGGGCCGACGACTTCTCGCACCGAGTGCGCGCGGGCGAATGCGTGATGTGTGGTGTCTGACGGTCGGTCGCTGCTGCTGCTGGCAGGCGGGCGCACGGGCTGGCTCAGACTGGCGCGATGCGCGGCCGCTCGGTGCGCGCTCGGCCCGAGTCGATGTCAACAACAGGCTGCGCGCTCGCCGGCGCGCCGCTGCAGCGAGCGAGGAGGATCGGCGCGGCGATCCTCGGCGAGTGTCCTGTGCGGCCCAGCGCTGAGCGGCGCCACTTGTCACGTACCCCTGAATCACGAAAATTACCGTTTATAATATCCATAAATATACTTTTCCCTGAACTCGTAAATGACATTCGTGGAAAACCCAAGTTTAATCCGTTATATTAGCGTAAATTTCAAGTAATTTACTCAAGTAACTCAAAAGATAGAAAGGATTTTCAAATTCGCAGTTTTAAAGTTCAAAAAGTAAGTTTTAACGCTTTTTCTAAGGGTTGCAAATGATATTATTCGAAATCGTAAGTTGTATTCTCTATATTAGAGTAAATTTCAACGCATTTACTCAAAAACTTAAAAGTTAAAAGAATTTTCAAATGTTTGTTTTAAAACAAACAAAACAAATGATTTTCCTATTTTTAAAGTTAAAAAAAGTGAGTTTAAGCACTTTTTTCAAGGGTAGCAAGTAAAATTCTTCAAAATCCTAAGTTTTATCAATAATTTTAGCAAAAATTTCATTAAATTAACTCAAAAAACACAAAAATTTTCAAATTTTTGTTGTAAAACACGGATATCAAGCAAAATTTTAAACTTTTAAGTTAAAAAAGTGCATTTTAGCACTTTTTCTAAGGGTAGCAAATGAAATTCTTGAAAATTCCACGGTTTATCAACAATTACAACAAAAATTTCATTAAATAAACCCAAAAAAAAAAAAAAATTTCCAATTTCTCAAAAATATCCTGTTTTAAAGCTTAAAAAAACGCGTTTTCTGACTTTTTAAGGGTTGCAAAGGCCAAAACCTCAAAAAATCATTTTATCCTATCCTTGAGACCAAATAACATCGTTAACAAAACAAAATTATAACTTTCCCGAGCGTTTTTCCATAAAAATTAAATAAAACTGCGCGTTTCGCATTAAATTTACAACTTGTAAGGTAACCAATGTTTATTTACGTGCGTAATTTGCGGTTTCCAAGAGTTAAATACAATTTGCCGGCGTTTTCATGACGCAGATCAAAGAAGACGCCTGGAATTCCACGAAGATCGCGCCTGATTCACGTTAGAGTAAAAGCGTAGCGCAAGGCAAGCGATTAATCGATTCCCGCAAGTCGCACGCCGCTTCCAGGAAAATTCAATTAGCGGCAGAGGATTACAGGTGTGATGGGGGACAACACGGCGCAATGAAACACGCCTGGATTGTCTTGCATTTGCACTTTTTAATCTCAATAAACTTGCATGTAGTGATTTTTCCATGACAGTATTATTACTTTTGTTTATCGCCTACGAATGCTAAAACTACTAGAAAAATAAGATTTTTTCCGAAATGTATACAATCTACAAGTCGAGTGTATACATTTATGCTATCATTATTATATGTATGCACGACGCGAACGCGAGGGGCCGACGTCGCAGCCGCCGCCCGCCGCGCCGCCTCACCGTTAGAATTAATATTAGTAATGTATCATATTATCAATATTAATATAGTTATGTAGTAGCAAATAGAAAATATAACGTACTTGAATCGAGTAATTATACATAATAAAAACGTAAAATAGAAAGAAATCAAAGATGTAAAAATCATTGTGTTGAAAGAAAAAAAAACTCAAAAGTAAATCGAACAACGTAATCATCGATCATATCATTAATTACATTTAATACAAATCGTACGATCTGTTTGTTCTCGCAGCGGCGCTGCTGCTCCGCGTCGCGCCTCCTCCGGCCCAACAACAACCACAACCCCCCCCTGGCTCCGACTGCCCATCGCCCGGCCTCCGCGTCCCGCCCCCTTACAGTAGTCATTATTGTTATGCATGTTATGCAGGTATATGTATATCGCTTACAATACATTACAATGTAATATTTATGCGCCTACGCCATCCTGTGAGGTTATCATAGTATCATAATCAACATGTCGCAGCGCGCGCGCGCCGACTGCAAACTTAAAGAGAGGAGCGCCGCCCCCACGCCCTCGCGTTGAGGCGGGAGGCGTGTCCAGTGTGTGTGTGTGTGTGTGAGGGGGTGTGAATATGTTTATGTACACGTCCGTCATGCCGCCCGCCTGCATCGTTACGCTAAGTTATTAGATATCGCTAGGGTTCGGCGCACGTGTTGGTGTGGTGCGTGCGAATTGGTTTCTGCGCAAGCGAGTGTCTCGATTACAATTCGATAAGAAGGAAAGAAGAGCGCGCGATGTCGAAGGCACCGCGCCAACGCGAACGAAAAATTAGGAATTAAACATTTATAATTAAATCAACATTGGCACCGCGCCGGAAATAACTCAAAAGCGCATCGAGTGTGCGCCGCCGTCGTCCATTGTGCGCGCACTCGATGCGCACACCCCCAAAGCGCCATTCTTTTTCTTGTCGCGAAATTAATTGTGTACAATTTCACACAGCATTCCAGTGATTTTCATCATTTTTGTACTAATCAAACGCCTGTTCGCTGCTGCCTCGATCAAAAAACATATACAATTAATTCATTTGTGTGCACAGCTCGCCTGTCATCATCATCTGGAAATCAAGCAAGAGCTAAACGCCTAAACTTAAATTATTAACGCCGAAAATCATACTCAGATAATCGTAGTTTTAAACGCTAGTGCATATATAATGGTATTATCTAAAACATTTATCTCATGCGTGTGTGTGTGTGTTGTGTGTGTTCATATGTGCGATGAACCGCGACACTTGTTACAATTTTTCCGCATTTTTTTTCTTCAAATCGCATCCCATCCGTCTGCGAGTGTGTTAGTTTATTAGTGTGTTACTATCCTACTATCGGTCATCGGTTTGTTCACGAGTGAAAAAACATTTTGATTGCATTGATGAATAATCCCCACGTCGATAAACAAATCATACCGCTCTAGGTAGTGATTGGTGCGCTTACGAAGAGAGTCATTATCATAACACCTACTTTTTTTTTTCTTTAACTACTAAAGCGAATCACAGTAAATCATAAAACGTATCTCGTATGATTAATTATTTATATGTTTGTGTGTTACTTGTTTTCATTTCGTCGTATATTATCAATACGAAAGTGTTTCTAGCGATGATTTCCGTACGAATCAATCAATATCTGCACTATGCTAGCAATTTGTTTTCGCTCGCTGCGTGTGTGTGTGTGTGTGTGTACCTGTGCCTCTCCTGGGTATACATATGTTAGTCATATATAAATTAAACAGTTCCGAATCTGTATTGATCTCCATCATCGTTTTCGTTTTGTTGATGCGTGCATGCATTTTGTTACTTAGTGTGTGTGTGTGGAAATGAAGGAAAAATCTCTTCACTTCACCATGGTTTTCTATACAACGCTAGCGCTTAGTGTAACCGCGTGCGCGTTTACTTATGGTACTGTTAATTATATTGTTACTTGTATTAATTATTATAGTTATAATGGTATTGTATTCATCCGCATGCTACTCGCCGCCCTGATCATGTAACCCTTGATTAAATACATCTCTAGTCAATTACGAAAACTCCGAGAGGGTGCAGTCGGGTTGTGCGACCTCATGCTTAATCAGTCCCAAGTCGTTCTTATCGTCGGGTTTCTGTTGCTGCGCGACCACGACCGGCACGGACACGGTCTGCGGTTGTTGCTGCTGCTGAACCACCACCTGCTGCTGTTGCTGCAGCGGTTGTTGTTGCTGTTGCTGCTGCTGCTGTTGTTGTTGTTGCAGCGGTTGTTGCTGCTGCTGCTGCTGTTGTTGGGCTTGTTGTTGTTGTTGCTGCTGTTGCGCCGCTGCAGCTTGTCCGTTACGCTTGGGGTCGAAATGTTGACGCTGGTGCAGGATGAGGTGGTTCTTCTGGTAAAAGCCCTTGTTGCACAGGTCGCAGATGTGCGATTTGAGTGCGCACGTGCCCTCCGGATGGCGCTTGGTGTGTTGATGGAGGCCGTGCTTGGCGCTGAATGCCTTCGAGCACACCTTGCACACGTGCGGCTTGATCTTCTGCGCATTGGCGCCTTTCTGATTGCCGCTGGTGTTGGGTGTGTTGGGAGCGGTGCCTGCGCCTGCCGCTGTACCGCCCGCCTGGTAATTCACCACGTGCTTGTACTGCGAGTAATTCGCGCCCGGGTGGCCCATCGGGAAGGACGGGTGATGCAGGCTGGCGGTGAGCGTGCAGAGATCGTTCACCAGCAGCGAGTCGCCGCTATGCAGTTTAATGTGCAATGCGAGCGCCTCCGGCGAGTTGAACGTGAGCGCGCACTCCGAACACGACAGCGGCTTGCTCTCGTTCTCCGTGTGGTGCATCTTCGTGTGCATCGTCAGCTCCGGCTTCGATTGGAACGTCTCGCCGCATGTGGTGCACGAGTAGTTAAACTCGCCGCTGTGATACCTGTTGAACAACGCCAATCAGAACAACTCAGACGTCCAGTCGGATCGCACGCATATCGCCATCTTAACAACTCCTCAGCACTCACACTCGAGTTACGCTTGATAAGAAAACTTGATACCAAAATGAATCATGCATGACCAATGCTACCAGTGACTTTTTTGAGAGAGTTTATTCCTGACATAGCTGCAGATCAGCGCTGAGCGTGGAAATCATGCGCGCACTTACCGCATATGCGTAATTAAGGTCCTTTTCTGTAAAAACTCCTTGTGGCAGATGGGACACGAATGCGGATTCTTCCCATGCAGCCGATTGTGGTTCACCAGCTCGAATTTGCGCGTGAAAGCCGCCCCACAGTCGTGACAGATAAAGGAGTTGATCGCACCGTGGAATCGCGAGTGCATCACCTGCAACAAACGGTTATAACCTGTTCCGGCGTTGTGTATCGTTGCGTATGGATTGTAAACATACCAAATGGTCCTTTTGGGCAAAACTCTCGCCGCATTCGGTGCATATGTGCGGCCGCTCGCCGGCGTGGAACTTACTGTGGGTGACGAGATGCCGCTTCAGCGGGAACGTCCTGCCGCAGTCCTTGC